ACGGGTCATCACATTAATAAATAAATCGTTGCGCACTATATTTCGGGTTAGGTATGATGAAAACAATATCCCTTTGACTCGTACTACTGTATTATATAGGCAGTCGAAAAATTTAAAACTTGACGATATGTACAAATTTCAGCTTTTAAAATTCATGAATAGGGCACTCTTCCACGATGAACGTCTTTTTAATTCAGCATTCGCCTCTCTTGTTAGTCAACATTCCCATGACACCAGGGGCATGCATTTTAACTTACCCCCAGTTCGTTTGGAAATTGAAAGAAACGGTACAGTTTTTAATTGTGTGAAATATTTTAATGAATTACCTGATGATTTTAAAATCAATTGTTCTAAATTCAGTTTGAAGACTAAATTCCGCGATTTTATTCTTACTCGTTATTAATTTGACTCTGATTAGTTTCGTAAGATTTTTGGTAATTGCCTTTTCTCAATAATATTTTTGAAAAATAATATGGTGTAAGACAACATTGTTTCGACTTTTCGTCTTAGTTGTATTTAATTTTTTTAGGTAGGGTTGTTATTGCCTTTGTTGAATATCATTTTTAGTCGCCATGCTAATTATTCTTATTTCAATTTTACTAAAGGTTAGTTTTTATCAGGATGTTTTCAATTTAGTCACTTTCAGTTCCCTTTTGTCTTATCCCATCGTCATTATATGTTATTGTTTTTCGATTGTATAATATCGCTAATGTCGCCTGTGAAGCTTTTTAGCTTATATGGGCATTCGCATGGAAGCATTTTGTATTTTTTTTCTCCAAATTTTTGTCATTTTCTTGTTATGAAATTTTTTTGTATGCTCCTGTGTGAATAAAGAATAAAGAATAAATAATAAAGACTGTCTCTTATACACATCTAGATGTGTATAAGAGACAGNACAAACCCAACCACTCTAGTTACAAATTCATACCTAACAATAGGTATGAAGAAAAAGAATCAAAGATGCTACAGTTTAAGAACGTCGGAAATTTCCAACAGCTGCCCCATGTTACCCTACTCATCTACTTGAGAAAGACACTCATCTACTTGAGTAAGATACTCAACTACTCGAGTAAGATGCTAATCTACTTGAGTAATATACTCATCTACTTGAGTAACATACTCATCTACTTGAGTAAGATACTCATCTACTTGAGTAAGATACTCATCTACTTGAGTAAGGTTCTCACCATTTGAGTGCTTCATTCCCTACTCCTACAAGCGAGTGCAGGCTAGGGTAGAATGAGTGACAGCGCGACATGTCAAGTATTGTATATATTAGCGTGAATTATTAAACAAGAGTTTAGGGTAACATGACGTCAAAAGTGAGTATTTTGATTGACGAGGCGTTGACATACAGTGGGGAAAATAAAGATTTAGTCAGTCACCATTTTGCAAGTTTTCCCACTTAAAAAGATGAGAGAAGCCTGTAATTGGCATCTTGAGTAGACTTCAGCTATGAGAGATAAATGTGGAAAAAAATTCAGAAAACCATTTTGTCGGACTTTTAAAGATTTTATTTGCAAATGATTGTGGAAAATAAGTATTTGGTCAATAACAAACGTTCATCTCAATACTTTGTTGTATATCCTTTGCTGGCAATGACAGACTTCAAACGTTGGTTGGTTGACAATAAAGGTTGGGACACACTATTGTTGGTATGTTGGCCCATTCCTCCATGCAGATCTCTTCAAGAGCAGTGATGTTTTGGGGCTGTCGGCGGGCAACATGGATTTTCAACTCCCTCCAAAGGTTTTCGATGGGGTTGAGATCGGGAGACTGGCTAGGCTACTCCAGGACTTTGAAATGTTTCTTACGAAGCCACTCCTTTGTTGCTCCGGCAGTGTGCTTGGGAACATTGTCATGCTGAAAGACCCAGCCACGTTTCATCTCCATTGCCCTTGCTGATGGAAGGAGGTTTGCTTCCAAAATCTCACGATACATGTCCCCATTCATTCTTTCATGTACATTGTACACGGACCAGCCATCCTGGTCCCTTTGCAGAGAAACAGCCCCAAAGCATAATATTTCCACTCCTATGCTTCACAGTCAGTGTGTTGTTCTTGGGATGCAACTCAGCACTCACTTCCCTCCAAACACGACGAGTAGTGTTTTTACCAAATAGTTATACTTTGGTTTCATCTGACCATATGACATTCTCCCAGTACTCTTCTGGAACATCTAAATGCTCTCTAGCAAACTTCAAACGTGCCTGGATATGGACTGGCTTGAGCTGGGGGACACGTCTGAGGACTGCAAGATCTTAGTCCATGGCGTCATAGTGTGTTGCTGATGGTAGCCTTTGTAACGTTGGTCACAGCTTCCTGCAGGCCATTCACTAGATCCCCCTTGTGGTTCTGGGATTTTTCCTCGCCGTTTTTGGTATCATTTTGACCCCACGGGCTGAGATCTTGCGTGGTGCCCCATTTCGAGGGAGATTAGTAGTGGTCTTGTAGGTCTTCCATTTTCTGATTATTGCTCCCACAGTAGATTTCTTCACACCAAGCTGCTTGCCTATTGCAGATTCAGTCTTTCCAGCCTGGTGCAGGTTTATAATTTGGTTACTGGTGTCCTCCGACAGCTCTTCCGTCTTCACCATTGTGAAGTTTCGAGTGTGACTGTTTGAGGTTGTGGGTAGGATTCTTTTATACAGTTAACGACTTCAAACGGGTTTCGTTTAATACAGGTAATGAATGGGGTAAAGTGAAGTCTCTTAAAAAATATTTTGCAGGTCCGTGACAGCCAGAAATCTTGATTGTTTTTAGGTGACCAAATACTTATTTTCCACCATCATTTGCGAATATCATATTTAAAAGTCCGACGAAATTATTTTATAAATTTTTTCACATTATATCTTGCATGCTTAAGGTCTACCAATGATGTCAATTACAGGCCTCTCGCAACTTTTTAAGTGAGAGAACCTTCACTATTGGTGACTGACTAAATACTTATTTTCCCCACTGTGTTGTATCTTATAATATATTGAATAATTTAATTGTCCTTTTGTCCTCCTGTACCATAATTTTTCACCCGTTAAGCTAGATATTTTGCTGCGATGAATATTCTGCCTGTTTCCTTGCTGTGGGTTCACTCCAGAAGCCAACTAGGCCCAAGCATCAACGGTTTAATGCGGTTCTTGATCGTAATTCAAATTCAAACTATTTCGTGTTTCGAGAGTATAAAAGTCGTAATGCGTTCGGCAAAGACCAGCCTGCGGTGGAAACTTCGATGGAATTATTACAGCCGTCCCTCTCCAAAATCGATAAAAAATCGATCAAATTACGCGGTCATTGCCTCGGACCTCCAAGAACAAATATATGCATTCTATTAGTGCAGACACAACGTGGCAGTTCAATTAACTTCCTGGGTAATGCAATATAGATAATATAATTGGAGTGTAACGCCTTCATCAAAGGAATCTATGACTAGAACACTTCAGCACTAATTATACCTCCTGACGTGCTGAGCTCTAAGCTTAAAAGGAGTTCAATATTTGTATCCTTATTCGCTTCATCGTTTATTAGTGAAGGAATAGATCAGTGGAAATTATTGAATAAATCTACATAAAACATGAAAATTTAATACATAATAGAAACGCTGGCAAGGTTAAGACTAATATCAGATAATCACAAGAAAATACATAAAAAAATATGAACTAGGAACGCTGAACCGATAAAGTGACATTGATGGCGGACAGAGGAAAAGTGGCAGGCGTAGATACGCGTCCGCAATATTCTAGCAGATGTTGTCGGCTACATGGCGCACTTATATGCCGCAATCTGTATTGGAGATAATGTGCAACTCGCAGGTATACATATAATTCGTTGAATCGTCTCCGCTAGTCTCTTTGGTTTTACGCAGATGAGATGGTAATCAAATTACGGCACATTCAAGCCATCAATTGACAAACAACTAAATCATCTTGCGAGTTATTTGTTTGATTCATGTATTGAGTTAAAGTCAAGTAAAGATAAAACAAATCAATTCCTCCACTGATAGAAGTTAAATGTTGGAAAGATCTCGAAACATCACAGAACTGCTTAGAATATACATTGTTGCCATTTACACGAAATATTCCTGTCAACACATCATCGTTGCCATTATATCGACACCACATCATCATTGCCGTTATATCGTCACATCATAATTGCCTTTATATCGTCACATCATTACTACCTTTAATTGTCGTCACCACAGCATCAATGCGTCATCAGTGATCAACGATTATGATTTTTTCCTCATTTACAGATACTAAATTACCACCTGCAGTTGATGCTCTGATAATTAAAATAAATCTGCTGCTGTTCCGTTAACAATAACACACGATAACTGTGCTGCTTTTCCACGATATCGACCTGACCGTGGGTCCCAACAGACGGCGAGTTGCCGCTATAAATGCAGCCGGTGATTAGACTCTGCACAGCAGAGAATACCTCTACTAATGCCTTTACACAGTGTATGTTTCTATTCCTCTTTTGGTTGAAATTCAGCTTCCAAACATCCATTCTGTCTGTCAAATTTGACTCATACTCAGGTTATTTTGTTGACACATCATGTTGGTGGTGCAGATCATCTGCCTGCTCATGCTTGTCCTCGGTGAGTGCTAACTTACACGCAAAAAATTGTGGAGGCAAAATTAAAGGAATTTAAAATGATCAAAAGGTACTGACTAATCTTTTAATGGTTGACCGCAGCGTTTGGTGGTGTTCCGTGAATTCGTTGTGTGACAAACCTACTATTAGTCCATATTCGCCGGGGATCCATTGGTCCAACATTTGGACTCTTGATAATCACATTACAGCTTTCCACCGATGCGAAAATGATTTGCAATAAGTTTACGATCCAAGAAATTATGTGATCTGAATACTCATGTCGTTTAATAATTTTAGAACACGCCCCATGTTTGGCCGTGCCCTATAATAACTTAGGTGATGGAATAGTTGTTATAACTTAAGTGATAAATGATTGCTGAATTTAACGTCATAATTATCTTGTCCCCGAAGCATTCTCGGAACGGTTCATTGGTGGATCCTTGTTGCTATCTGGAGTTGGAGAACTGCGCTTACATTGAACCGGGTGGGGGCTGGGTAGTTCAAGATGCCACTTGTGACAATGAGAGAGAAACTTATCCCTTGTGCTCAAAAGCTCCAATAGATGGTGAGTACTCTCAACTTAAACTTATTCAATAGAATACATTGAATGGAAAAGCGCTTGACCATGGTAACATAAGAAGAAAGCCACAAATGTCATCAAAAAACTGCATTGCATCAAGTTGACATTCGCCTGCTTCTAAAAATTAGTGAAAAGTTGCATATTCATTGAATCATAACCTAGTTTAGAATACAGGCCACGACACTATACTTGAAGATGAGTGTGCCTAACGAAAGAACGTGACGCGACCAAAGAACACCGAAGTAGCGGAAGCAAGGTTTCATGTTTCTGTCGCCCATGAACATGAGCACGGCGGGCTTAGCAAGTCTTGAATCCATGTGTATTGCTTTGATCACTGACCAGGGATATTAGAATGCTCTCAAACGTAGATTGACTGAAATTTTGAAAGGCGATTCATTATTATTTCATTTTAAAATATTTTCGTAATGATATCAGTCAATATATAGCAGAAATAAAATCCACGTAATAATGTCAATATGATGTTGCCACGTAAACTTACAGCCATCGCGAGATAATCTATAAATTTAAGCTTCGACTCTGAAGGGTGAGTCAGTCAAGCTATAGGACAGATTTCGTTAACACAACTTCGACAGAACTCGCTCGTGTCACAGTATAGTCACTTCAAATTGACCTCGTATGATGCCATAAATTTGCTAGTAGTAAGTGTGAAAGTTAACTCGTCTCAATCTCTTGCTATAATAGCTTCAGTGAAAATGAGTGAAACCCCGCATCTTCAGTGATGTGTATTAAATGAATATTCAGTAATTATTTTTAGCTGATGCTACCAGAACGGCAATCTGCCAATCTCGATCAATGATCGCTGATCAAACGTGCTGGATTATTGCTCACATGCATAGGTATCAACCTTTTCACTCACCCAGTGGAAAGGATCCAGTCGAGGTTATAAAGAATCCTCCTAATTTTTGTCATCAGTTCTCAAGAAGAAGCTGACCATATTGCTGGGTTTTAATTTTTCTTCTATTTAACGAATCCGAACTCGTTTTCCGTAGACCAAGCAGACGCCAGACCAAAAGTTCCTTTTCTCGTTGCTCCATTACTATATAACTCTCATGCCCAGTATCTTCAGAAGTATTCTCTTCAGTGCATTGTACTCTATTTCTTGTTATATTTAATGATGTCAAATATTTTTCCGATAAGATTAGGGAGAAGAGAGAGCCTATCATCGCAGTTTGCATAAACAGCTTAAATCACAGGTTTCCAAACATTTACCCACAATCTTACCCTGATTATTAGCCATCAAGATTTCTTTGAGCACTGTCCCCCAATCGAAACCTTGCCGAGCGCATCCAATATTTTTTAATCACCACCGCCAGTAAAGATTTGGAAACTTTTCGTTATTAATAACCGGGGTCTTAACCTAGAGCGAGTATCACTATGGCAGGCATTTCATTAGAATATATAACTGGTTCAAATTTGGGAAATACCTCTCAGAACCGGGGTGCTCATTTTTATTGATTATCACAAAGCTATGAGGTACTTTATACGTATTATTTCTGTAGTGAAGCAGGTGTTTCATCCGGTTCGTTATAGTGTTGCGAGGTACTTCCTTTAAATACTTAAACCCAAACAATACCAATTTATTAGAACAGGAACATCATGTGAAAAGTTATAAAAATACATGGTACACTTGGCACAATGGATGCCAAGCCTCATACTAACTCGGGCTAAATTGGGCACAAATCTCCGATAGAAATTCAGGAAACAGAGATATGACCTTAACTGATATGACGATTTCGTAAACTAACATTCAAGCAAACGCAAAAAAGCCATAAAAAAGAGTTATTAGTCTAGATTTGATCTAAAACAAGATTTTTTACGCTCATCATGCATTAAATGAATGGAAATGTCAATATTTTAACTAAGCTTAATTTGATCTAAAACAAGATTTTTTACTCTTGATGCAATAAATGAATGGAAATGTCAATGATTTTTAAACTAAGTTCAATTAAGCTCAAAATTTCCATGAGTGTAAGTAACAACTGATTTTTTAATTTGCAATAGTTATTACAACAATTTATTTGTTTCATTCGAAGATGCGACATTGGTGCTCAGTAGTGGGTATAATATGTAGAAGTGGCAGGTTGAAAATAATCTCTTGAACAGTGTAGGACTGTAGGTGCATGGGTTTATTCATCATATGCTAAATTCACCATTCTATATGTCACGTTAGAATCGACTCTCCTCTCATTCCGTCGTATCACATAGCAAGGCACGCGTACACATTCACCGACGCCCTTTAATAAACGGGAGATGGTCATGGTTCGTGCGTTTACCCTGGTCAGCCTCTGACCAGCCACATCATGCGGTAGCGTCATCAGCGTTTGACCATGGACATCATGACGAAGCTTGACCAGCTGCTCTTTTTAATCATATTACGCAGATTTGGCCTACCGGGCAATTGACTTCCAAAAGAGGCTGGTAAATAGAAGCAAAACACCCTACGGGGCCGACTTGCGCCTGATTCACCCCTAAGCCGAATATAGTTCCTCTAAAACGACCTTAATCGGCACGAAAATTTTGACAGGGCCCTATCAAAATTTTGATGCCTGTCAGCCGCTGGCTCAGGCGCGCCCCAAGCTCGCCCAACGGTATAAATCAGCGGCTCTATGTCCGCTTTAGGTTGCACTAGCCTATGTCATTAGTTGCACTAGCCTGTGTCATTAATTGCACTAGCCTATGTCATTATTTGCACTAGCCTATGTCATTAGTTGCACTAGCCTGATGCTCAGTGTAGCCGCCATTTTCCATTTCTCTGGAATTTGCAGATGTAGAATTAGTCCACTAGACTTAGTTTATTTCTGATGCGCCAGAGCATTCAGTGTTAGACCCTAGATGCTTGTATAGTACCCGAGGAACGCAAGCTATTCGGTCAGTTATATTTGTTCATTACTTGAATTATTGACTATACCGATTCATATTTATTTATTTATCTTGGTTCATACATTGGCATTTCTTGTATATATCGTGAATCATTCTTTGTATATTTGTCTTATGTATTTTCTTGTAATTTTCTTTCTAGAAACCGTACATCATGGAATACTCGTTTTTACCCTGCCATGATGGCGCGTCTTAGAATAGTTCAGCAAACGTTCTCAAAGGACTAGCCAACAAGAAAGTCCTTTACACTCAGTTTCTGGCACGACATGAACACGGACGACTGTCCTAGCTCACTTATATACTTTAGTGAGCTAAGGAGTAACTCACTCACTCATCTACATGAGTATTATACTCATCTACGTGATTAAGGTACTCATCTACTTGAGTAAGACACTCATCTACTTGAGTAAGATACTCAACTACTTGAGTAGGATGCTAATCTACTTGAGTAATATAGGGCAACATGGGGCAGCGCGCCCCCCTTTTTTTTAAACTAAATTTTTGATGAAGTTTTAATTGATACGAGGTGGTTCTTTGTTTTTTTTTTTAATTTACAACTAATGAGGAATGCATGATGTGAATTAGACGCCTATATATGTTTATTCAATTTTTAATGAAACACTATTTGTAAAAAGTGTCAAAATGGACCAATTGCCCCACCCCTGGGGCAATGGGCCCATGGGCTTGGGGCAAGGCGCCCACCCTTTGTCCCTTTACCACAAATGCATATTTTTCGTTTAAAAATGAAAAAAAAAACACTTTACAGTTAAAAATAATAAAATGTAATAAAAAATATGACATTCACTCATTTATTACCAACTCAAAAAATCATATACGTAACTTGAAAAAATATACTCCTGGCTTAAAAAATCTATCACTGAAGTGAAGAAAAATATTTCATTGACATAAAAAATATATATCCTTGACTTGAAAAATATATCCTTGCGATAAAAAATTCGTCCTAAACATGAAAAAATGTATCCTTGACTAGAAAAAATATACTTAGCTGATCAGAAAAAAAAAACTTCGTTTAATAGGTTCGAGCCACTCTTCCAAACCATCCTGCCTGCAATCTTCCTTTTCTCTCAGTTCATTGCAAGCTTCGAGAAGACGTTCCACTTTCTCCAGGTATACGTTGAAAAGCACTTTAATTTTTTCTATGTTGGTCTCAGGGCAATGCAAAAGTTCCTCGATCTCACGATTCTTTCGAGTAACTGCACCAAGAGGACCTGACGGGAATTCTCTGGTACGTGTCGAGTCTGATTTGGCAGCCGAAATCATTTCAGAAAACAAAACCTAGATGGTTGCCAATATTTCGATACTGTAAAACGCTTTTCGTTTGTTGGGTTTTGGTTTGACGTAAGTCCGCGTTTTTTTAGGATAACCACGGTTTCAACTACAATTTTTCTTTTTATTGGATTAAAAAGTTGTATCTGTAAGAACAAACATAAATATATTAACCCTATAAACTTCATTGTATGCTTATAATATTCAAATATAACAAATAATCATCCGAACTATAAACAACTTATATGAAGGCATAAATCAACGCACCGAAATATTGTGGGCAGTTTTGACGCGGGCTACGAACTGAGCTAACATGAAACTATTGATACGTTGTCGGCTATCTTGACACTCTAAAGGGCGGATAAACAAGTAAATCATAGGAGCGCATAAAAAAATAGACTATTAAAACTAAGCTAACAAAAGGTTCGCTAAAAATATTTACAACTTTAATGAAATATAACGAATAGACAACTTAACTTAGGAACAAGGCAAGATCCGATGAAGGAGTGCAGTTAGCCGACGAGAGAATCCCAGACGACTGACGGTTTAGTTACGGACAACTGACGGTGGGGTTACGGACGACTGACGGTAGAGTTACGGACGACTGGAAGTAGAGTTACGGACGACTGGAAGTAGAGTTTCAGACGACTGGAAGTAGAGTTACAGACGACTGAAAATAGAGTTACAGACGACTGGAAGTAGAGTTACAGACGACTGGAAGTAGAGTTACAGACGAGTGGAAGTAGAGTTACAGACGACTGGAACTAGCCCACACGACTGGCTCACAGGCGGCGGGTAGAGGCACAGACGACGGGTGGTTTCATAGGCCTACTCGGTAACACGGCTGTGGTAGTCTTGCTGTTAACTCGGGTTACTGGTGTACCAGATAGTCTCCCCAACCAGAACTGGAATAGACACAAGAGAGATCAGCATGGCTCCTTAAATGTGTCAGAGGTACTAACATAATGACCACAATTTAGACAAGTGAAGATTTCCCATCAAGAGCACACATTAAGTAACTAACCTATGGCGCTGGCGGCCAGAGCAAGAGTGGCCCATGGCCGGCTAATGAAGACAGACTATGACTCCAAATGTAAAAATTACCCTAGGGTCACTAGAAATGGCTTGATCCTTACAATATTTGCAACACTTCAGTTAAATCTTTTAAAATTACTCGATTGCACTGTCCTCTCCGATGGCTCAACAGTAGAGGGTTGGCTTCGTGCGGGGGAGATCGGAGTTCGAATCCTGCAGACAGGGACGTTCTTCAAGTCGATTTCTAATCAGGTATGTGTATGATACTCTGATAAATTCAAAGTGAGCTGTGCATTCTCAACTTTTATTTGCAGCACCTTCAGCAACACTCTACCAAACTATAGGCTATGGCACAGTAATCGCAGAGGGGAGCGTCTGGGTCCTAGAAAAACTTTTTTATTTACGGATGGATCACTTTGAAACTTGGTATACCTAAGACTTCTTTGTTCGTATCAATTTTTCGAAAAATGAAAGAAAACGTGGAATTCTTAGAAAACGGCCAAAAAGGGGGTACTGTAGAAAACTATCTCCTCCGAGGATTTTCAAGCTACAACATCGAGGCGCATATCATTCGATGCGTAAGGACCATATCTATCGATTCGTCGTAGCTGTTTTCGAATTTTTGTGGGTTTGGGGGCAATTTTCGTAAAATTTTCGAAAATTTTTCGATATCCCCTTTTACTTTTTTCGAAATGTTTTCGAAACTATAACGAAATTGAAAAAAAGCTACAACCAATCTCTAGATATTTTATTTGCAAATCGAATGGTATATCTCTCATCGCTGTATCTTCAAAACTGTAGGAGGAGATAGGTTTCCAGTGACAATAAGTGTGAATGTTCAGTGGAGCCCGACAAAGTCCCAGGCGCCTCGAAATCGGCATTCAAGACTGCAAGGAATGCGACTAGACGATACTGGAGCTCGATTTCTGTCAAGGATGGTGAGAGCGACGGCGCGAGAACTACTCCGTACGACTGCCGCAAGGTTACTGGAGCTGAGTGTGCGTTAGTGCGTAGACTAGCTAATTATAGTGCAATGCGGGATTTATTCTCTATGTTAAATGTGAAAGAACTCTCCCACAGAGACATCCAGTGCATCCGAATTGTCGTAGTCTATTGAAGGCCACTCATTCAGAATGTTACTATTGTAGATCCCTTCCGGGATCTGTCGTGAACGCATAAATCAACGTACAGA